TTGGAGATGACCGTTGACCGATGGGTCACGATCATTTCCGGGTTTTCCCGATTGGTGATTTTTGGTGAAAAGCCGCCCATAATTATCTCCATTTTAAACAAACCTTTTTTGTAGGGCTAACAAAGACCTCCAAAAACAGTTATTACAAAAAAGTCGGTGTTGTCCTTAGGTTCGGAGATATTCTCGAAAAAGTTACGAAAGTTTCAACCGAGTCGATTTATATCGGTTTAGGGGTTCGCTGCGGAATAGTGAAGTGTGAAAAATTGTGTTGTGTCGAGAGAGGTGTCCTACCTCAATGGGAAATACATCCCCCGATAAAAACTAAAAGTTGATGAGAATGTCAGTGACCTTTTGTGGCAAACCCCATCGACAATTCCCTCTTGAGAGCCACTCAATCGACCTCCAATACCTGAAGATGGCGAGTCGAGTTTCCTCTTCTCTCTGAACACAAACTCCAAGGGTTGAAAAAAAATATAGCCTTATCTTTTTGTAATTTTTATACCCTCTCCCTTTCACTTTGGGCTTTTCATTTTATACCAATCCACTCAATTCGAAGCTACCTCTAGGCAATTACAGTTGGTCCAGGAAAAACTTTGCCCCTGAAGTTCTTCCAATGTTTTCCCGTTTTTAGCCCATTCGATATAGCGAAAGGGCAAACTCAAGCTGTTTACTTCTTTCCTGGTTACCACATACTTTGGTTCAACCGGTAAACTCACTTCTTGTGTTACATTTGCGATAGCTAACCTGTGATTTATTGGCACGATAAATTCGGGGGTTGGTATCTCGCTCTTTACGGTTATAGCTTGTTTTTTAAAAACTGGTTAAAAAAAAAAATTGACAATTCATTGCTACGAGAAATATCAGTCCAGGAAGGGGTGCAATTGTTTTAGAAAATTTTGGATAAATAATTTTCACTTTTTTTACAATGTGAGAGTTAAAAATTCCTGAATATTCATGATCATACGGAGATGAATTTACAGTGTACATTGCGAGTGATAAAAAAAAAATGATGTGCCTGTGAAAAATTGGAATTTTGATGGCAAATATTGAAATATTTTCTGGAAAAAATATTTCATACAGCGTAAAACTGTAATTATACAGTAACAAGAACAGAATCCGTAATTGAAGTTCTTTCAATGAAATTCACATTCTTTAATTTCATCGGAAGGTCACGGGTTATTTCAATAAGAGATTATTTATGGCAAGAGTATTCGATTTGCAAAGTAGGACATTAATTAAATTACGATATTTTGGTTGCAGGTGGATTTTTAGGAGATATCGCTTTACCAAATGTTCAATATGAGACCGAATGGCGCCAGCAAAAGTTGAACAAGAGTTATTTAGAGGAACTGGAAAAATACAGGGATGAAGTGCTGAAAGAGGGGTTGCAGGTTGAAGAAGAAGGTTTAACAGGTATTTAATTATCTGTCTGTTCCATTAATGACTGATAATCGATCATGAGATACAAATTTAATAAATGAATTCACTTTCTCGGCTGCTCACTCCTAAAACATCTCGTACTACCACGAAAATATATATTTCTCCCTATAAATATTTCCAAATCTCCCAGATATGAAGAAGTCCTCAGTGAATCTTCACCATTTCCTTTGAATTTCGGGGTATTCAGCAAAACAGGCCACTGGGACTAAATGAATTTATCTCGTTTTACCACTTCACTATGAAATTACGAAAACTGGGTCATCAGGCTCTCAATGAGCTTACATCCCCTCTCGGGATATTTTTTCTTCCGTGAAAATTAAATTATAGGAGTACTAATTAATGTAATAATTCAATCTTACTAGAGAATGAAATAACCTTCAGAAATGTTGATGAGCTTTAAATTAATCTGCAAATATTTTCTCGACTTACAAAGCTTTTTCCACATTTCAGCTGTACAGAGAAACAATTTGCAATGCCGAAGGTATTTTCATTCAGGTAAAAATTATCGGTGACTGATCGGTGGTTTCAGCTGTAATATTTTCCTGCTGTACTATTTCGAAGCTATAATTTTTTTAGTTGTGATATTTTTTGATAGGTGACTAAATATCGAGATATTTTCGCCAAGTTTTTTCGCACGGTGTGAATGGAGTTATAAATTCGAGGTTGTAGGGTAAAAATCTGGAATAAAAGTTTTTTTATTTCAATTTTATTTGATTTGTGCACTTTTTTTAATAGAAATTCTGCAGTTTAAAAATGGCCCGGGCAGTGAGGAATCGGGTCAGGATGCTTTTTCATCGATGGACAAGCCCGTGTCGGTTGTGGAGGACAGAAACCAGTATAATATGGGCAGCGAGCCAGGAGAAATCCTGGACAGGGATGAGAAGCATCCGGAGATCAAGGACGATGGCATTGAATTTAGGTATTTATCTGGAAGGAATCCTTGAGATTATTTCCAAATCTTCTTCACCAAAAAAATTATCGAGAAATCAATATATTTTTATTTATAATCATAATTGCATTAAAAAACCGGTTAATTATGAAAATAATTTGGAGGGAAAAAATTGGTTTATGATTGCCAGATTGGAGGGGACTACTGAGGATCCGAAAAAGTCGACCTTAATAAATTTGATAACCACCGGAAAACCTGAATGGGACTCACCAAGAATTCAAGAGTCAACGAGAATCCCCAGGACGAGACATTCGCATCGCCGCAGTGAATTGACAACAAAAGAGCCGACGGATTCACTTGTCGTTGGAACAACGACAGACATTAGCTCGAGAAAACGTCAACGTCGGCACCATCGCAGAAGGTACGTCGATTTCCCTTCATTGTCATCTTTTCTTCTTTCTGCATTTTTCGAAAAATATGCAACAGTCACGTTTGTCTCGTTGAAAAAATGTCAATATAAATCAAATATCCATTGAGTTGAAAAAAATATATTCGCCATATTTCTTACGGATTTTTTTCCACCGAATTCCCATATTCTTCATAGAAATTTGTATTGTTTGTAATTTAATTTTATTATCAACAGAAATCTACGATTAATGTTGGAGATATGGATAGTTGAGTATTTGATTTATCTCGAGACCCGGATATTCAATTATCGTTAACTATTTGGCGGATTAAAAGTTGATGATTCAATACATCGAATATTCCATTTCTACATATACATAAATAAAGTTCATTTTTTATTCGACAATATTTATTCTAGTGTGATGATGTATTTGCACTGACAAATTATTTTTTTGAGATTCTGATTCCGAGAAATCCAAAATTTTTTTCCACCATTCTGTTCCTAAGAACCCGATTCGATGAAAAAAAAAAATCAAAATAAAATAATTCTCCTAAAAATCAATTCAGCAAATACCTAAACTAATCCAGCAAATCGACCTGTCAGCTTTGAAAAAGAATCGGCGTATTGAAACCTGAAATTCGCTCCAATAAAAATACCATCCCCAATATTTCCCTCACTGATTCGATAAGAAAGTTGACGTATTGAATCGGAAATTCCACCCGCATCCAATCTCCACCAAAAAATCCCCACTTTATCCGTTCATTTCCCTCCATTCACCGATTCAAATAAAACCTCAGATAAATCAAAAATAGAAAGCACGAACAATATAAATCCCCCGATCGCCCGTAAGACTAAAAATGTGTGCTAGTGCCAAACGCAGAATTCAATTAAACTCCATTGATTAATGAAATGGAGTGAATTTGAGCATGTAACCCACTTTTCGGTGGTACTATTACATTCCCAGCATAACTCGATGCATCATTGAACAAACCCCCTGTAAGAAAGAGTAGAACTTGTGGGGCAGTTGTGGGGAGGGGGGTGTAGTGGGCTAATGTTGAGGACCGGAAGTAGCCCCGGGGGCCGTCTGTATCTCGGTGCCAATAACAATGGCCGTCATCGTAAAGCCAAGAAAATGGGCTACTATACTCGGTGTGTGAATGCTTTTCCTCAAACCACTACTAACCACCCTCCAACACCCCCTAACACCCCCTCACACCCCCCCACTCACATACCCTGCACCCAACAGAACTGCCAATAACCTGTCAGTGAGGGTATGCACACGATAGCTCTTATGCACGTGCGGATGTTATCGGTTTAATAATACTGGACCAAATGTCGTTCTTAATATTATTATCACAAATCGATATTTATATTTTTCTTCCCAATATTTGAAAAATAAGAAATGTCGTTTTGTTTCCCGGCTTTTTTTATCACCAGAGATATGACTCCCATTATGAGTATAAAAAAATTATTCTCGTTTTCCTCTATTCAATAAAACTAGACACAAATTATCTATCACTTTATTTTTTCCATTCTCCGAAGCTGTAATACTATTTTATGAGAGAATGTATTGGAAATTTCCCGAGCGTTAACTGATGTAAAAATTTTCCAATGAATATCAATAATATTTATGCAGTGAATATTTCAAATAATTTCGGGACGAGCAAAAATTTTAATGAGAATTCTGTTTTATTGGAATAAAATATTTTAAGTCGATAGCTATTTTTTTTTTTAACAAATTGAAAATAAAATCTGTTGTTTTTCATTCCTAATGGAGATGTGAATTTTTTTCTCACACTGATCGCACAAGTAGTACATGTGTTATCGATTACCTTGAACCAAGACATTAATCTTCATGTGGTTGAGCAATTCCATCGAAGACTGTTATTCACTTGCAGACCTCGTCGACAAGACCAGAACTGAAGCAGTCCGTTCAAGCAGAAGTACTAGCACCCGTCTATTCCTGCATGTTCATCCATCTCCATGCTTTCGTGGCTCGCTCGTTCACAAACTCATTCCCACGTGATTTATCGAAATCGAAGTATCGCTTTACGCCTCGGGGTTAATCGCATATTCCCAGACCACTTGTGGGTTTCCAGGGGTGAACCTATATATTTTCCTGCAAGTCATTAAATAAGAATCCTCCTCCCAATTCAATGTGCATTTCACTGCCTTTTTAACATCTGCCAAAAAATACTAATTTATGTCACAAGGGCTGAAAAATATTTTGAGAAGGTATTTTAACGAATTTCGCGCCGAGAAACCTTGTACTTTTATTGCCCTAGGGAGGTAAGTGGCCGTTTATTGCCTTCCTTTTTTACTTACCTCCCTAGGTTGGAAAACTGAAGTTTATCACACCTCGACCGTGTCGTAATATACTGTTTTGAATCCGTTTGGAGTCCACAAAATGTTTGTTTTGCGCACCCCTAGCACAGGAACAATTTCGAACACTGAATTTTGAAAGTATCACAAAAAATGGGATGTATTACCCACACGGACAAAAAAGCGGTGCTTCACGCACTTGTAAAACAATATACTATGTCCCGCAGATTATCGTGAGAAAAGTCTCCCTTTTCAAACGGTGTGCGCAAAATTGAGGGGTTGTCCGCAAAGTTTCAGAACACGCAATCGAGATTCATTTTGCGACTGGTGTTATTAGGATTATTATTTATAGGATGTATCAGGTGTGCGTATGATGCGGTGTGAAAAGTAAACTTTTACTCACCAGTGTTGTAGGATACACTAGTTTGAGGGCACAAGTCTTTCTTGTTCTTTATTTTTCCAGTCGATTATTCCTGGAAAATTATCACGATTGTCGTGTCTAATAGAGTGATATGTCAACTAGGAAATAACCGATTGAAAGCCATATACAACAGACTCACTAGACCATCCATCCAACGCCTCTCGAATTCTCTGTCACGTACAATAGTTTCCCGCTTTCCGCATCTACGTGACACGAATATTTGCATCGCGAGCATTCCAATTTCTCCGCCTGCTTCCTATTTTTTTCGTGCTTGCTTTTTTTTTTTGGACTGCTGTTGTTTTGCTTCTACCCTGTCGCCCAGAGGAAGACCCTGTAAACACGAGCACGTTACAAATGGCGCTTTTAATGTTTGTATTTTCAAACGAATGGAATGAGTTTATTTTATTTGGACTTTTCTACTGCCCATTTCGTTTGCTCTACCGCCACCTCATTTCGCAGATAATTTTATCTTTTGTCTGTTTATTTTTTTATTCATTACTATTAAACTTTTGCTGGAAATATATTGCGATGTCCAAGTTTAGTCCACCATTTTGTCTTCAAAATTGAGGAGTGGTCAACTATCTTTTAGACTGCACTAATCAATATCAATTGATGATCGTTTTTTTTCTAATTTTCTTTCTATTTTTTTTCTAATTTTATTTCCATTTTTTTTCTAATTTTATTTCTATTTCTTTTTCATTTCACAATTTCAATTTTGATAAAACCTTCTATATCAGATTATATTTACTATATCAAGCGAAAATAGGTATATAGGTTGAAAGAAATACCGGAAGAAATCGAATCCCGACGGAATATTTAACGGGACATGAATTCCCTCGGGGTCGGGGAAACTTCCCCGTCCAGCAGATTAGATTTCATTTACACTAATTACCAAATTCAAATCTTATATCAATATATCCTTGCCCCTAATTCCAGTCACGTTGTTCTGCGCTCAAGTTTACGGGGTTAGGCGTAACCTCGAGCACGTTAGACCATAATTCGTTTATGCCTCCGAGGGGTGTTTAATTAATTGTAATACCTCCAATTCGATGCGGGACGTGCACTTAAACCACTAATTGTTACGGGTATAAAAGTAAAGCACCGTTGAATATTTCTAGTTTTTATTGTGTCTCTCTGGGGACCGAGAAAATGGAGGTCGTCAATCAAAACAATGCAGGAGAGGGTGTACAGGTGGTACAGCCCTTTAGCAATTTTACCCACTGGTCGTAAAGTACCCGCCGTCCGCTTTCCTATTACACGTTAAATTTCGTAACACCCGGTTTATTGCCTGCAACTCCAGCTAACGCTCTTTTTATTCTATGGAATCATCTTAATTTTTCTTTTTCATTACAATTTTTTTTATCTACTACCGCGTAAAACATTGCAATTGTGTATTAATATTTTTTAATCTACGCGTTAACTGCAAACTTTGAAAATTTATTTTCATTTCACCGCTAATTAGAATGTCTGGTAACTCAAGTATAAATAGTTTGAAATTTAATTAATTTCATTAATTAGTTATATAAAATTATAACATTATCGCAGAATGAAATATCACTTTTTCCTGAAAATTCAGTGAAAATTCAGGCAATTATTTTTCCGAACTCCCAAGCCGTTGAGAACTCACTCAAATTGAATGGCCAATTGAAAAATCTGGAGAAATAATTTTCAGTTCAATTATTACGAGAAAATCGACGAAAATGTTTAATTAATCTATTGCAATGCCAATTTTTTTATTCACCCAATGCAGCGTGTAAATAAAATTCAAATAATTGTTGTCAGATTGACGAGGAGACGTCCTCATCAACGTCGTCTGAAATCCCCATTCCCCAGGGACTCGGCACCGCAAAATTCCGACTCAGACATGATTTCATTGCACGACCGTCGATTACGCGATATCGAATTTTTCTTCGAGCACAAGTCAAAGCTGGAGACGCATCAGAGACATGGAGCGACTCGAAGTGGAGCTCCGAGTCGACGACGAAGAGCTGCTACAGCGAGAAAGGAGAGGGTTTGGGATCACGGGGTAATTCCCTACGAAATCGATGGAAATTTTTCAGGTGCACATAAAGCGCTGTTTAAACAAGCTATGAGACACTGGGAGAACTTTACCTGTGTCAAATTTGTCGAGAGAGTTAGCAGGGAGCATCCCAACTATATTGTCTTCACTGAACGTCCTTGTGGGTATGTACCAATGATATTCAACAACAATTCCACTTTATCTCGGATAGCCACTCGGTAAATTTAATTAAAATTCAACAACCGAAAGATTAAATTTCACTGGCTGACGATTGAGATAATTGATACTTTCCCATTTTTCCACGCGTTGAAATTCAACTCAATTATTAATTAAATCGGGTGATGATTTTTCGCCTGAAGAAATTACTTTTGCAATAGATAAGAAATAATGGATGGAATAACTATTTTGAAAAATTCAATTTAGTAGATTAATCAATGATTTATATCGATAAAACGAAGAATAAAAGTTTCACAAATCGAATATAAAATTCAATTACCTAGTTATTGGAATTCAATAAGTTGCAATTTGTTTTTTTTAACAATTATTATTTGATCCCCATCTATCCTTTTATTTTGAAGTCGAAATAGACTTGGCATTTGTCCCCGAAAAGTGAATTGATAAATGAATAAAAATTGTCTTCACCAGTTGCTGTTCATTCGTTGGCAAACGGGGAAACGGTCCTCAGGCGATCAGTATCGGTAAAAATTGCGATAAATTTGGAATAGTTGTCCACGAATTGGGTCACGTAGTGGGTTTCTGGCACGAGCACACTCGTCCTGACCGCGATCGTCACGTTCAAATAATCCGTGACAACATTATGACAGGTGAGTAACTAGTAATGAACAAGTCACGTAATGAGTTACACCCCTTGAATCAATACCATCAACACTCAAAATGCTACGATAATCCCACAGAACACCGAGATTTATCCAAAATACGTGACTAAATCTGACTCTCCCTCACCAGAATCAAAGTAAAATTTAACACACCAGGAAAAGGGGCGAAACGGGTGTCCATCGGGAATTAATGGGGCAATTTGCGGTGACTCCAGTGTTCTATACCTTTCGATGAATCATTAAAGGCACTAGAGTGCGTTAACTACGCGAAAGTCTAATATTTGCCATTATCCTGTCCCTTTACGGTACTTCCGATTGAAGTACGAGGGTTTCGAAACCACCGATTTACAAAGGACCACAATCACCGGATGCTGGAGCCACAGATTTGAATGAAACTCGTCCGTTTGTGGATTTCGACCATTCAAAATCTTGAATTTGGTCGATTCCTTTGCTAATTCATCATTTTTCCATCAAAATTATGGAATGAACCACAAATATTTTTTACAATTTTATAGAAATTTTCTTATTTTTTCACAGCCTTTCTGTTACCTTTCAATTCTATTGAAATAAAAAATGCAATTGATTCCATGACATTTGCTTTAATAATTTCTTCCTCAAAAAATGCTGTCAAATTTGAAAATATTTAAGAACAAATGTTTTTTATTACTGATTTTCCCTTCCTACAATAACTTTTCGAAAACTGAATTACTAGAATCAGATGAAGATTCATTTTTCAATCAAAGGTTGTACTAAAATTAATGAATTGTATAGGTCAGGAGTATAATTTTAATAAATTAACGAACGAGGAGGTGGACTCACTGGGTCTGCCGTACGATTACGACTCCATAATGCATTACGCCAAAAACACATTCTCAAAGGGAACGTACTTAGACACGATTCTCCCGATGGAGAACCTCGGCAAGAAGAGGCCAGAGATTGGACAAAGGATTCGCCTCAGCGAGGGTGACATTGCCCAGACCAACCTTCTGTACAAGTGTCACAGTGAGTTTTTTTTACCCAACCCTTGATAAACTTTATTATGAATTTTTTACCAAAGCTGTGGATTGTTCAGGATGCGGCAGGACTTTCCAAGAGAACAGCGGTAGTTTTGCATCTCCAACACATCCAAACAGTTCACCACCTCTGGATGATGAACGATGCGAATGGAGAATTACTGCTACCCATGGGGAGAGGATTGTACTCAATATTACGTCGTTGGATATTTTTAAAAGTGACTACTGCAAGGTCGATTACATCGAGATTAGGGATGGCTATTGGTACAAGAGTCCAGTACTAGGTGATTTTTATTTTATTTTTAATTGATGTACTTAATCACTGCTCCCCGCACTTTTCTAAATGCACTATAATTGTATGGACTAATCAATAATGTTTTTAGTGATAATATTCGACCAGTGCTAATAATAATTAGGAGAATCATAAATTTTATTGGGTAACGTTACATGAAATAAGGAAGGGTAGAGCAAAATGGAACGTCTTCGATGGTCAATAACATGGGATTTGTAGAGAGACATTCAACGATTTTTACTTAATTTCTAAGTTCTGATTTTTGGCTTTGAAATGAAATAAAAATCATTCGATTTGACTCTGCAGCTTTCGAATTGTTGACCATTGACGATTACTTTCCCACTCGCCCTTACAAGTAGATTAAAAATTTACCCCGTTACGGAAATGTTCGTAAAATTTTGAATTTAAAGAATGGCTTACAATGATTTCAATACAAAAACAAAAAGATATTGTATTTTTGTTTTTTGTAATGTTGAGACATATTTAGGAATGAATTTTTTTCGGTTGAGGTCGTTTTTGCGGAAGTGGAAAGATCCATGAGCCAATAGTATCAACCGGAAGTCGTATGCTGGTAACATACGTTAAGACAAGCCAAGAGCGTGGTTATCGTGGCTTCACAGCAAATTACGAGGCTGTATGTGGTGGAGACGTTGAGTTGGATGGTATTGGCCATCTGGAATCACCCAACTATCCCGAGGAATATCAATCAAGCAAAGAGTGTGTCTGGCGACTGACAGTTCCCGATGAGTATCAGGTGGCACTGAAGTTTCAATCATTTGAAATTGAAAACCATGACAATTGTGTTTATGACTATGTCGAAGTCAGGGATGGACACAATGCCGATTCGCCATTGATTGGCCTTTACTGCGGCTACAAAGCACCACCGGATTTACGATCAACTGGCAACAAGCTTTTTGTCAAGTTTGTTAGTGATGGATCGGTGCAGAAGGCGGGATTCTCTGCTACTGTTATGAAAGGTAATGCAAATCACCGGAGACAGTACTCCATTGAAAAATCAATTAAATTTTAATTAAATCCATTAATTCAGGGTCATTATTGAAATCCCGACAATTCTCGCGCTTTAGAGACATTTTATTGGTTCCGCCAATTGATACTGGAAACAAATTTAATGTGTAATGCTCGAATAAATTTTTGTTATATTGTTCATTTTACGACAGAAATATCATTAATTAATGAAGGTACGCGTAATTTTAGTTTTGTAGTCTAAAATATTTATGAATTGAAAAATTTTTTTTTTTTCAATTGTATTGCTGAAACTAGTCCGATGGGTGGATAAAAAAATTATTAAAAAGAGGAAAAATTATTGAAGGGTGGCAAGTCTAGATGTCGATCTCTAGGCATCCGAGAAGTTTACAGAAAAGAATTTCTAATTATTTTTCTGTGAATTTGACAGATCCCTTGGTATTAATCTCTTCACGTGCCTCCTTTCAACATTTCTTTTTTTTTTTTTCTGACTCATGGAAGTAGTCCATGCAACACAATTTGAAACCTGAAATTAGAAACATTTTATAGTAACAAGATGAAATTGAGATAAAAAATTACGTTAGGGCCTTCATAGTATGGCTGAATAGACCTAAATAACAAAATACTAGAAGCTATTTGTTCCTGCAACCGAATTTCGGATGAAAATATTCAGTTTGCAAATATTGCAGAATCCGACTCGGATTTGATGTATTTATTTACATGCAGAGAATAAAAAAAATTGTTTTTCAGAGTACGACGAGTGTGCTTTAACTGATCATGGCTGTGCGCACGATTGTATAAACACCTTGGGGGGGTACGAATGTTCATGTAAAATTGGATATGAGTTGCATTCGGATGGAAAACACTGCGAAGGTCTGTATTTTGTTTAACCACATAAAAAAAAATATATAAAATGGAATGTATTGGAAAAATATCGGAGAATAAATGGGTCAGATTGATCCGATACAATTTCCTCTATTTTTTCAGATGCCTGTGGAGGAGTATTCGATGCCAGCAACGGCACCATTACCAGTCCTTCGTTCCCAGAAACTTATCCGGGGAATAAAAATTGTATCTGGGAAATCGTAGCACCAGCCCAGTATCGAATTACACTCAATTTCACTCATTTTGATCTTGAGGGCAATAAAGTTTATCATCAGGAGTGTGAATACGATTCTGTTGAGGTTTTTAGCAAACTGGGAGATGATATTCTGAAGAAACATGGAGTTTTTTGTGGATCCAAAGTACCCACACCCATTATTTCAGAGGGGAATGCTATGAGAATTATTTTTACCTCCGATAAAAAGTGAGTTTAAGTTATTGTGCTTTCACATTTTTACAACACTACAATTAGGACACGTGCGAGGAAAAATATTCAATAAATAAAATCTCTAACAATATCTTAAATACATTAATTCATGTCTTTTCATTCTACAATGAAAATCCATAACTAATACAATAATTAATAACTAATCTAATAATGAGTTCATAAGATTCAATTTATGTATACATGACTTTTTTGCAGTTACAAAAATGTTTAATAAAATTTTTTCAGCATTCAAAAATCAGGATTTGCCGCTGTATTTTTTACGGATATGGACGAATGTGCAATAAACAATGGTGGATGTCAACACGAGTGTCACAACACGATCGGTTCCTACGAGTGCTCCTGTCATAACGGTTTCAAGCTCCATGAGAACGGCCACGATTGTAAAGAGGGTGGGTGTAAGTACGAGATAACGAGCTCAGTTGGAACCATAACATCACCGAATTATCCAGATTACTATCCAGCACGTAAGGACTGCGTTTGGCATTTTAGAACGACCCCGGGCCACCGTATAAAACTCGTAAGACTTCAACATCTCCATTTATTTTATTCTCACCATCTCTTGTCGCCCTTCTCTCAGGGTGATAAGGGCTCAGTGGGGCGGGTTAATGGTCACATTTTTTTTTCACCTCCTCGCAGATTTTCAAAGTCTTCGAAATGGAGCCCCATCAAGAGTGCGCTTACGATCACATTGCCATTTACGATGGAGATTCACCAGACAGTCACACGCTCGGAAGATTCTGCGGTACTAAAGAGCCTCATCCAATGATTGCCACTGGGAATCAAATGTTTATGGTTTTCAAGAGTGATGCATCTGTACAGAGAAAAGGATTTTTAGCTACTCATACAACTGGTAATAAATCTCAATATTTTATTCTTAGCGAATCTCATTTTTCCCAGATTCAACTATAATTCTATAGTTTTTTTATACAGTGAAAGTTTTTTCTCTATTAATTAAATCAACTCCCTTAAAACAACCGCTTTTTTTAAATATTGATGATATTTCAATTAAATTAGGGTATTATTATTTGCAATTTCAAAGGATAATAATCACAGAACATTTGGAAAACGAGACAATATTATTTCAACAAACGAAAAGTTCCTGGAAAATTTAGAAAAAAATTGGTTAACGTTGTGAATTTTTTTTCGCAAGCTTGCGGAGGACACCTGATGGCTGGGGACACTCCGAAGCACATTTACTCTCATGCTAGATACGGTAGCCATAACTACGACCATCGAACGGACTGCGATTGGACCATTGAAGCTCCTCTCGGTAAAAATGTCCACTTGACGTTCCTCTCCTTCCAACTCGAGTATGAGGAGGATTGTACTTATGATTTCGTCGAAGTTTACTCGGGTCTCGATGCCTCCAGTCCGAGCTATGGAAAATTCTGTGATTCAGTAAGGACTTTTGATATCTAGTAATTGACCCGAGAAAGATCTACAGACTTTTATCATTATTTATATTTTAATGTTACAGGAATAAATATCAATTATCACAACATTATTACGTCAAAATTTTATGCATTATAATATCATTGGCTATTATACTACATCTGAATTTACATTTTATTATAATCGCTGTATATTTAACAATTCATCATATTTCACGACTCGTTTCTCACACTATATATATATATATATATAGATAATAATAGCCAATAATTATATTGTACATAATATTCACAAATATTGTGAGATATTTCTATTTGGTTCCTCAGTTAATCGATGGGAATAAAAATGAATATTTCTTTTTACCCAGAATATCACAGACATCGTGTCAATGAATGAAGCTCTGCTGATTCGCTTCCGAACAGACGATACAGTGTCGAACAAGGGTTTTTCAGCAGCATTCGTAGCTGTTGATCGTCAAGACAGTGAAGAGAACCTCGGTGGGATTGACGAAGAGGAGAATCTCTGATCGTTGAATGGGCTCGGGAATTTCCTCGAGCCCCAGGAGAGAACAACACCTCCCCAGCGGCAGTTCGAACCACCCCCGAATCGTCGGCCTATTTTTCCCAGTTACCCAATTGTCAAAAAGCCGCACAGGCTCGATTTACCTGGGAGATCTAGACGGGGAAGGTACAATGGTGCATCAGCCACTATGATTGGCGATAATCATCGGCCTCGTTACAAGCGAAAACGAAATCGCTCGTATCTCAAATAATGACTATTTCAATCGGATTCTCGTCGTGATTGCAAGATAATAATCAACAATGATCGTGCCATGTAATTTAAGTAGACGTATATTAGTGGAGACATTTTAGAAGTTGTCGTGATTTATTAATGGTGATGATTAACATGAGACTAAAGTGAAGAAAGAATTTTAATCACTGCCTCAAGCGTGTCGGTCTCTCTAAATTCTGTTCCAATGACAATTAAAACCCATTTTCTCTGATTTACAAGAATTTTTATGGAAATGGAAATTCACGAAATACTCGAGGATACCACGAAATATTAATCAATTGCACTTGTCACTAGATCAGTAACAAAGGGATGAAATAAGATAAGTTCACTTTAAAATTTTTCGTAATTATCACCTTTAGGAAAAAAAAATCTCAAAAGATTTTTCGTTAGAAATTGGATGAAACTGGATGAAATTGGATGAACAAAAAAGTTTTTTAATGTCTTCACCAAAAATCGATGTGTCTCAAGATTAATTGATAATTTTTTAAAATAATATTTAAATAATAATTTCCACTCATCTTAGTTTATAGAATTCCTCATTAAGTTTACTATATTCTACTTCACTTACAACATTAATAGATAGAAGTGCAGAGAATAAGTTCAAGAAATTTCTGGAAATCGCTCTGAAAATATCTTCAAATCATGGACCTAATCTCGTGTCCTCCACTGATAGATGCAATCAATAAAATAAAATCCGTGAACTTCGTCTCAACTTAATTTCAATTTCGACAAATATAAAGTGTTTCGTAGTACGTAATTGTAAATAGATAGATAAAAGAAATGTAGATTACTAGATATCTGTCATCGTGATGTTTTATAATGTTCGACGTTCGTAATAAGATTAACGATAAAAATAAAAGTTTGGAATTACTTCAAATACTTACGTAGATTTAATTGGCGCATGTCTGTAGAGTAGATGCCACTTGGGGCTATTTCAGGATAATAAAATCACGAAACAAATGTATACAAATTAAATGTTAATTAAACATCGGTCTTGTTGAGACCCCTCGTTGTCTCTAGTAACTATTTTGTAGAAAAGACAATATACAAACAAATGATAAAAACTGGTTGAAATTTTCTCATTTTTATTCATTCCCAGTTGATTACACATAACTATTTTTTTATGTTAAAAAAAAATTACGCACGATCTATTATTAGTCTACGATATGAAGACGTTACTTTTACAGACTTATCACAGGGTAAACACAGTCGTAACAACGACGAATAGATCAATAATTGGATAAATACCCAAGAAAAACCATTTTCCATTGTGAAAACGAATTGATTATTAATATTTTCTCGTAATCATCCAGTTATTAATGAAAAAAGAAATAGAATATCCGGATAAAAATTCTTTTTGTAATGTTTTTCTCTTCTTGATACGATATAGATCTAAACAAAATACAACAATTCTTAGATATAAATATAATCAATATACATATGCATTGTATAATATACGCTATATCAGTGGATATAAAAAGGAATAAAAGTGCCAAGTTGTACCAGAATAGAAAGTACGTTCCCAAGGCAGTGAATCTGTACAAGTTCATTCAGACATTGATTCAATTCCCCGAGGGGAATCGAAAAATCTGGGACAAAGTCATCAGCTCAGTGATAGGACAATTAAAATCAAGCTCGAAGCCTCCTCATTTGTTTGATCGACTTTATGTACAATGTTTTTTTTTATTTCAAAGGAAAATTCATTCAGAGGAATCGGGCCAACTCAATCCCCTGCCTTTTAATGCTTCTATATACAATAAAAGATTTTTTATGAAAAGAACTTTTATGCAGATAAAAGGTAAAGTATAAAAGTCTTCATTAGAATGGAAATTGCACAGGATTTTGTAGAGAAAAAAGGAGATGGAGATCAATGACGATGAACGATCGACGTAATCATTTTTTTGTTCTCATTTTTCTGTTTGAAATTCTTTCCTCGAATTATTTTTAGAGTCTCATTATTCTATTCGAATGATATTTCTTTCCCTTCGAAATTCATAAAAGCTATTACACTCTTGTTTATTCGATGGGAAAAATGGAGAGATGAGTTTCAGATAGATTTTGAGATTCTTCAACGCACACCTTCGTTCTTCAAAAAATTACCCTGTGAAATGATTTCACATACATTAATTACATGCACTATTTTTTCCTGACGTCTATGAAATTTTATACATAGAAAGTCATTTAATAATTTCTCTTCAAAGATCCATGATATTCCGAAAAACTACAACGAAAAAAATAACACCATCATTTTTTAACTCATCCGCAACTCCCAATGATTCCTCTTGGAAACTCGCTGACTCCAGATAAATATTCCCCTGAATTTCGGTCACATGAAATAATAAAACTCGAGAACGTGAGAGACTGAAATCATGAATAACCCAAGCAATTTCAGAAATAAGTAAGTATAATCGATGAAAGTGAAACCCAAAATTTCTAATTATAAATATCAAAAGAAATAACTCGACTCCTCAGAACTCTCAAAAATCATTCAAGAATTCTCTGAAAATGATTTGATTCTGGGAATTTCTGATTGAGTATGGAGCAGCCTGTGGACAATGTTCAAAATTCCTTAAAACTTACAAAGTCTCAAAAGGACACCCCACGATCCTCAGCACGCCCCAGGTTGATCACTATCATTGCGACTAGCTTTGCTTGTTCCACTGCCATCCCTACTAGGTCCAAATCCATTGGCCATCCTCTGGTAATGCGGTTTCCACGCACTCATCGGTCTCGTGTAATCCAGATGATCGTACTCCATCTCCCCATTATTCTGCTTAATCTCATCGTAAAGATGTTCAGCAGCTTTCTTGCAGTCCATCTCATCAATGCTGTGGTAAACATTGACATTGGGATTTCCCAGATCAGCATCCTTGTTCTTCAACGACGCCGAGTGATCATACTGAATGCCATAAGCACCCTTGCAGCTCTCCTCATCATCGTCTCCACAGAATCCCAGCTTAGCCCTCTCACTGTTGACATTTTTCATCCCAAGATTATTTCGAATTAGCCCATTGTTCAGGAGAGTTGCTGTCCCATCGTCAGACTTGGGCGCTCCTTGATAAGAGTAAACAGGATTGTCGAAGTGATTGCGATCTGGGGGAGTTACTGGTTCAGCTATGTACTGCACTTGAGCAATTTCCATCTTGAGATTTGCCACTCGACGTCTGTGGTACATCCAAGCTGCCAGGGTTATCGCAATCACCAGAATTGCTGCGCATATTCCTGAGATGACACTCCCATATCCGGACTCGGGTTTTTCCTGGACATTTCTGGAGAAGATCTCGTCATCGCAGTTGGGCCCCGTGTAACCGTGTTTGCATGAACAGCCCTGGGCGGGATGACAAATGAAGTTGTCGTTCTTACATTCACAGGGCTCCATGCAGTGGTCACCATAATAACCCTCTGGGCAGACTGAAAGAATTCAATGAAACCTATACGTCAGTCTTGCATCATTTTTAAATATTACTGAAAGAGTCATAAAGCTTTACATAACTGTAAGTAAAAATGTATGATTTTATAATTTTATAATTCTGTAATTTTCAAATTCAAGTTCACAGGTTTAGAACGTTATAACTGAGTCACGCTATCTAAATTGTATCAGGGGCAACGAGGAAGAGAACAAAATGTTGAATAAAAATAATAATTGGATACAGTAGGGGCTGTAGGGGAAGCGAATTCGGAGAATCCGACTATATGCAACAACCCTCACCACACGGTCACTGTGACTTTAAACTGAATTTTTTCATAGCGAATTCGAATGCGAAATGAATTTATTTTTCATGGAATTCAATTCATCACTGGACGAACCAATGGATTGTTTCGGGAACTGAAAAATCCGCGAAAAAATAAATTACTTTCTGTACACCTAGCACCAGTGAATCCAGGTAGACATCTGCAAACACCATCGTTAGCTCTGCACTTTCCTCCATTCTGACATTTACAGTGTTGGGTACAGTTGGTACCGAAGGTGCCTTGGGGACAAGGAGTCTGGCAACGTTCACCTTTCCAACCTGGTCGACACTGACAGATTCCTGTATGAGAAATAGAATTAACAATTTAATAATTGCCATCAGGGATTTTTCTAGATGACACATGAGTAGGTACTGCTCAAAGAGACGATTTCCCGAAATATCCGATAAAACCTAGATTATACAGATGCGATTGGAGGACGGAAGTGAATAATTCTTTCATTTACCTGTGACATGATGGCACTCTCCGTCGTTCTTACAATCGCATCGATTAGCGCAATTCAACCCATATCTATCTGGAGGACAGGGATGCTCGCAGGTGAGCCCCAAATACCCAGGCCTGCAGACGTACTCTCCAGTGACATGATCACAAGTCATATTTCCTGATTGAATCCACAAAAAAATTTCATTCTAATGACCAATTCAATTCAATTCCCACAAAATGCTTGAAGGCGAAAAAGCAGCAGAGGAAGACAGAGTGATACGTAAATCAATAAAAATGACGAAGAAATCATCGAAATTTGTATTCCCAATGAACAATGAGCGGTGATTCTCCTTCCTGAAAATTCACTTACCACAACTTGGTGATGACTGTTGCATTGATTAGTATTTGATGAATAGTTCAGTGTTAAAAGTTCTACAAAATAGAGAAAAGAGCATTCCACGCAAAAGCAAAACAATTACCTCTCCAATGGGATTGTCCTAGTAGCGAGAGGAAACTAAACTAATTAATTCAATGGGAAGGAGATAAAAATAAATTCAGTAGCGAAGCCTGTTATCAATAAAAATCTAGAAAGCCACGGGAGATAGGAAAATTGGAAAATTTTTTGTAGAGCTAATTGGGCCGTATAAAAAAGGGTCTGTGAAAAATTTGATATCTCTTTTAATTTTGGAGATATTTACTGTGAAACTTGGCTATTGAATTTTCTTATCATTTGTTTGGTGATTTCTCTACTAGTTTTCCGGTATTAACTGTTATCTTACCGTGCATTTTCTCGGGACATTTCTCTTTACATCTAACACCGTACCAGCCGTGTTTACACGGCTGAGAACAATCAGCACCCTCCCAACCCCTGGCGCAAACGCAGCTTCCTGTCTGAGGATCGCAGGAGCTATTGTTCATGCAGTTGCACGTGGAGGCACAGTCATCCCCATACATACCCGGAGGACATCTCGTCTCGCATCTTATTCCTGTTTATTACCATTTTTTATTGAATTTCAAATAATTATTTGTTTTTAACAAACTCTTCATGATTGAATGGTTAATCCTCCTGTTTTTTTTTGAATTGATGATTTTATGATTTGATTTATACTATGACTGGACTCAATCGATGGTTAACGAAATAGGAGAATGAAATTGAGGATTTTCTGGATAAAATAGACAAACCTCGCCACTCAGGCTTGCAGTAACATCGACCTGTGGCTGAGTCACACTCGACAGTGTTCTCATCCTCGCAATCACAGAATTGGGTGCACTCGTGGCCAAATAATCCTTTTGCACACTTCTCCTGGCAGTGCTCACCGTGGTATCCGGCTGCACACGTGCATGTGCCTGATTTCAAACGTTTACATTGAGCATAAAAGTTGGGTGAAAAGTTGGGTGCTTGTGCAACGAGCTCTACTTCATACAAACTCAATAATATTCAACTTGACAGGAGTAAATTTAATGTAGAAGGGAGAGTAACCCAACACCAGAGGAGAAATTATTTGGAGAGTAAGTCATATTACAACTTTGTGATCATTTATTTCTGCTGCTTTAGGAAAGGAAAGTCTTACCGTTCTGGGGATTACAGGCGGCATTGTTAAGACACTGGCATTTGTCCTGGCAGTTTATTCCAAATGAACCGTCGGCACAGGGACGATCACACAGCACACCATCCCATCCTGATAAAAGTCGAACAAACACGTAAAAAAAGGACTTACCTTACCTTTACCTTTTTCGCGATTTTCTCGATCGTTTCAGTAAAAATTTTTTCTTCAAATATTAACATTCGTCAAATAATTAATCAATATCTCTCTGTCACTTTTCACCTTCAAGAATATTCCTCATCAAATAATTCAATTAGTGAAATAAGTTTCATTTGCACTGATTTCTGAAATCAAATGACTAGTTCCTTAATTTTTCATCCTGACCAATGTTTTTAATCGATTGATCAGTCACGAAACCTTCAGATAATTTCTATTTACCCTGATGTCTAAAATCAACACCAGATTATCAGTTCCCAGTATTATATCTAATTGCAAATACCTGCAGTGCAGTTACACCGTCCATTTTCAGGTGAACACGTTGCTCCATTTTTGCAAGAGCACTTTTGAGCGCAGTCCTCTCCAAATGTATTATTCGTACATATCTCGCTACAATCTTCACCCTTGAACCCAGCAGCACATATACATGTGCCATTTACTGGATTACACTGAGCATTGTTTTTGCAGTTGCAACGATTTTCACAGCCATCACCATAATAATAGAAAGAACAAGGGCGAGCGCAAGTAGCACCATCCCAGCCAACTTTGCAGACACATTGGCCAGTCCACGGATGGCAGAGTTCAGTGTTCTCTTTCTCACATTCGCATGCCTTGGTGCAATTGGGACCATAAGCCTCGTCCCTGCAAGCCCTCTTCTCACATTTCACCCCCGTCCACCCAGGACCACAAAGACAAGCCCCATCTGTGGGCCTGCAGCTCCCATCATTCTTGCAAGTGCAATTTTTCTCGCAATTATTCCCAAACTTTCCCTTGGGACAGCTGTAGAAGCACTGATCACCATAGAATCCTGGTTTGCATATGCACGTGCCATTTACATGATGGCATGCTGCTCCGTTGTAACACGTGCATTCCTCGGTGCAATTGTTACCCCAGAAACTGTCTGGACATCTGTTGGCACATACTTCTCCAATCCATCCAGGAGTACAGAAGCACTCTCCAGTGGTAGGTGCACAAAATCCTCCATTCTGGCACCTGCACTCAGTCTTGCACTCATCACCGTGCTTGCCCTTAGGGCATAGGTCGTCACAGAGTGGTCCGGTGTACCCAGGGGCACAATGACACTCTCCAGAGATGTGATGACAGCTTCCACCATTTCTACATCTGCACTCCTCTCCGCAATCCTGTCCATAACGATCTGGTGAGCACTTCCGGTCGCAACTAATCCCAGTCCATCCTTTGCTGCACCTACACTTTCCATCGAATGGATCACATGATGCTCCATTCATACAAGTGCAATCCTCACTGCAATCACGACCCCATTTACCAAGAGGACACTTAATATCACACGCAGGACCACCGTATCCTTTTTCGCATTTGCACTCGTCTGGGGCAATGCACAAGCCGTGTTTACAATCTTGGGAGCAAATTGGAAGGCATTTGTCGCCTAATTGCGTCTCACCGTATCCTTTGCAGCATTCATCCACTGGTCTTTGTTTCGTCAGAACCTGGGAGAACATGAAACAATATTTATCCCCTATGACAATTCACCAAACTAATGGTTCACATATTTTAGCCGCATCAATATCAATTGAATTTTATAACGGAGCGTGAGATAAAATGAACCCTTTTTTTCGTAAAAAAATGGTTTTTTCCTTACTATTATGATATTATTTGAAACTATTGCCCATATGGTCCCACCCTCCCCTATCTAGTATGTCAAATATGAGTGATAACATAACAAAAACAAACAAATAAAACAACACCATCGATTCCAAAAAGAAAAGCTATATCTTTTCGATGATAAGGACCAAAGGACTAGCACAACGAAGACCATTCCAACGGAACAATACGAATTTTTAACTAATACACGCGAAATTGTGTTAGACAAATCGAAAATCAGGCCAAATGAAATAATGAAATTATGATACCATTTATTTCATACTTTTTTAAAGAAAATTTCCTTAATTTTTATTTGCTCGAAATGAATAATCTGATCTGAACAAACCTGTGTTCTATAAACGGTCTTGAATCCCATACGATAAGTGGAGCACCTCGGTGGAAAGCTGAAACACCAGGCGTTCTCTCTTATTTTGTACGGTTTTTGTTCGGAAACGTTGACAGTGACAGTATAAGTTTCCTGTCTCGTGCAGACATTGGGTCCCTCCAGACCGGCTGAAGCGACGAGGGCGATGGCCAACGCCGTCGTAATAATCACCAGGGGTAATCTCGAAGTCATCATGGATTATTTTGACTCCTTGTAAGCTCCAGGCTCTTTATCGTTTTTAGTGCTCGTTTGTGGGGCCCTTGGAGATAATGTCTCCACACGATTCACATCCTCCAGACAGCAGCGCTATTCGAGCAGATGAGGAGATCCAATGGTGATCCATCAGTGGGTTTTTAACATCTCATTGAATCTATAATTAATAAAAATTGAATATGAATGAAATAACGAGCTATTCAAATGATTTCACTCCAAATAAAAATCAATTCATCAAGAGGTTCTTATAATCAAGTAGTTCGTTAAAATAATCTACTGACGTATACATGAGCTCGGGATACATTAAAAATTCAGGATGAAAGGAATCTTTATCACAACTCAACGCATCAGTGGTCTTGAATTACAGCAAACTCTTGCACCCGAGATTCTCATGTTACCTCTACGTTCAAACCTAAGCGATAACTATCATTTTCATTTACAACATTACCCTCCAGTCCTCCTCCCAACTGAATGCCTCAATATTTTGCGTTCAGAGGTAAAATTACCCTCGTCGCTGTGAGGGAATTAACGAAAAATTATTGTTTCGGAGAATTTAGTGGCATTTATCGGGGGTATTATTACACAGGTTGAATCATTTGCTGCTCGATTGCCACTTGAGTCCACAGTGAATCATTACATTAATGGAGGGAGGATATTAATGAGATTATTTATTGACAACGAGGTGAAATCATCGTTGCCTTTTCCTTTTAAAAAACATGGAAACCAAGGTGAGAAGTACAATGTTCTAAGTTTAATTGAAAATGAGAATTCAAAGGTGAAGTAATTTCTCCGATATATTTTTTTGATCGAATAAATTATTCATTGTTGTGATAATTCCCAATATTTCAGAAAATATTAAAGTACATTTTTTCCATCGGGATCCAATTTGTCGGGTGACAATGACATAATTTAATATTAACCTTTAACAAATTAATAAATTATTCAGGTAAATAAAAATTATATGCGACATTTGCTTTGAATTTTCAGGATGGAGCAAACTTGATTGGCATAAAGAGAAGTTTTTCAAATAATAAATAAATTAATAAATTAATAAATTATTATAGAGTAAATTTGATTGGTCTAAACGGATTTTTTTTTCGTCTGAACGTGTCTGAGAGTTTGAAAAATGAAGAAAGGTTTTTTCCCTTCTGCTCTGCTGACTGTAGGGCCTGAAAGGTCTGCTGCTGTTATTATTATTATTATTATTTTAGTTTCCCTTCTGGAAGGGGAAGGGCTGAACTTCAAAGTGCAGTCGAACATATGTCATTTCCGGATGAACTCCTATGTCGAATGTACCCTGCTGTACAGAGGGTGTTGAAATTAAAATGAAAGAGTCGACGACAGAGTGGAAACACACCCTTTCGAGTGCCCTTGCAAAATCGTCACGTTTTCACTTGACAGTGAGGGGAGACAGACTCATTATAGACGAATTTTCCAGTGCGAATGTGTTGGGTTAGATGAGAAAATATTCAAAGAAAACAATAATATATTTTCCTTCAATTCATTTTTAATATTTATGCACGCAGAAGGTATATCTTTCCCTTACGAAATCGCCTCAACAAAAAATTGGAACTAAAGAGAATTTTCATACTCAGGACCCATCTAGCAAGTGACTCTTATTTCGGATTCTCTCACTGTTTTTTACATTGGATTGTCCCTTACTCCTTGTTTTAGAAATACTTTTCTGTATGCATCCACACTTCTGAGAAAAGCCATAAATTAATTCCTCAACGTCTGCAATATAAACCAAACTTAGAGGGAGCAATGAATTAATTTTTGGATTGGTTTAAATATCCTAGCAGAATGCCCAGAGGACTTGAGACAAAAAAATTAGGGAGGATTTTGAATATATTTTATTATACTCCGAAAAAAATCTCCAGCCTATTTCGAGCATGAAATCGGCTGATTCCATTTAAAAGCAAATAAAAGTGTCGAGCCGGTTTTCTATTAAAATCGAGTTGAAGCTTCGGAGTAAATCATGTAATTTTTTTTGTCTTTTTCTTGGCTGTGAAATTTTTATAATCGCCAAAAACGTGGGATTGTAGAGAGATGGAGTGAATTGGATTACGAAAATAATTTTTTTTCTCCCACAGAATGAGAAGAAAACCCGTCAAACGAGTCGAAAGATCGAACCCATGAGTTCAAAAACTCGTTTCCCCATTGGTTCACATGGAAATACTTGTGTCCTCCTCTTACAATACATCGAAAACGACCTCTGCCTTCATATCACAGTGGGGAAGGGCTAATTCATTTATTTAGACATGAATTACATGCCCGCATACATACTCTCACAGGATGTTAAACGAGAGCATATTGAACTTCATAGCTGCAATAAGTTTCGAAAAAATCAACAGATAATATTCTCATTAAAATAATAACATTCTTAAACAAAATTACAATAATAATAATTCCTCACAATTTTACAGAGCAATGGTCAAATGCATGAACTTCTGCAAATGCGATCCAAAAATGATTCAATAATTTCCACAAACCAGAAAAAAAAACTGTTTTTCCACGAAAAGTCTTTCAATTAATTCCAACAAACGGTAAAACCTTGTTAATAGGCAAATTCGCTCCGAACGAGAGTTAAAGGGAAAATTATTTTCGTTTGGTTCTCGAAATCCGGATGTTCCGAAATCAGATCGGTGTTATCTAATCGCCGTTATCTAAATCACATTTTCAAACTGATATGCAGTTCATATCCCAGAAAACTCAGGAAACAAAAGTACCAGGAGAAAATGATGAGTAATTCCCCTCCAATAGTATCCAATTAAAAACTAGAACAAATAGTTCTCGAACAGTTAATTAATTGATAATACAGTACCGAGAAGGGGATTGAAACGAGCCACATTGTGCCAGGTACGGTGAATTATCATTACATGTCTCACTCCCACTGACTCTCATGCCGTGACAGATAATTCCAAGTTTGCATCCTTCGAGATCAGCAATTTTTTTTTATCATTCGTCATCCCGTGTCTCAGTGATTGAAAAATAATGATAGCGTCGAAGGTCTTAAGGTCTTAAGGTCGTGAAATCCAATCGATGAAAAACCCATTAGTACTGGCAATGATGAACCTAGATATTGGAGGACAGTTATGTAATCTCTAGGTTAGTACTTCTCAGAATCCGGTGAAAGCGTATTTTAGCTTGTTCAGATAACATTTGTGATAATCATGATATGAACCCGAGAAAAAAAAATTCAATTTATCTTCAATTCTGACGTTGGAGTAAATATTTGGAGTGAGAATCTTCAAAGTTATTCAAGGAAAGTCGCAGTACAATTGCAAATGCTAATTGCCTCGAGGATGGGAGAGGCCCTGTTGAAAAATTTTTATTTGTTTTAATTTTCTTTTGTTTCCAGGTAGTAGTGGAATGCACTGACGACACAAAAATTGAAACAAAGAGGTAAAAACTCATAATAATAACCTTGGCATGAGCATTGGCGAGGAATAGCTCATGCAGAGATGTATGCCGCAATGCTGAGCCATCGATCCCACAACTATTTTTGTGCATTCCAATCTCTCATCATGAAACCGTAACACGAGAGTACATGTACAGACGAGGGTGAAGTTGTTTTCAACGTGAAGTACTTGTGGATGTGCATGTACGTTGAAATGTAAAATGAAACCATAAAGCGTTGCCAAGTCAATGCTTCTGGGCAACTGTAAACCAGTGTATGAAAATAATAAACAAATTATAGTCTTTACAGTTAAAAAAAAATTACCATTCCTGCATGGTTGAACAGCATTTATTTTAATATAGTCAAATATTCCTCAATAAGTAGATGAATTATTGTGCACATGTTCATGTAAATTATAATTGAAGAAAGAGAAAATTTGTTGTTCTTGGAAGAGAGTTGGAGGAGAGGAGTAATTTATCAATTTAAATCGGCTTCTATAAAGCGAGTAATCTTAATCCGTTACCCAAGAACTTTCAGAAATTTGACATATAAATTTGACAGAATAGATTGTTCATGTTTATTTGGAATAAAAATGTGCCGAGCTTTAAAGGACTCGTTAATTTAATTTTTCTGCGACACATAATAAATATTTTCTCTCTTTATTCTGTCTCATTTTGTTGCAAGAAATATTTCAATTAGACTCCACCAGTAAATATCCAAACTTGAATGTTCATCTTTTTTTACATTTTGGAAAGGAGACATATTTAATTGGAATGGAAATTAAAGGGTTTTGCTCAGTATTTATTCAATCCTCATTTTTATCCACGAGACAAAGAACTCTTATTACATTACCCTGTCCTTTCGTGTCACAATTCCCGGAAATCAGCAGTCTGACGAATCAGTTTACAATTGAAATGAGAAAGAGAGAGTCATATCGGTTCACGTGCGGAAGTGCAATTCTGCGTAAAAGTACTACAAGTACATTTAAAATGATCAGCTGTTTTAATACACTGAAGTAGTGTAATTAACGAACTCCCGGATGACATTGTGGTTTCGTTCAGAATTTCCAGGTAAAATCAAGTCACTTGAGTGATAGTCTAACTGAAATAAACGCGGGGTTAAAACGCTTCAAGATTTATTCATCAGTTACTCAACAGTATTTCATTTATTGCAATGAAATTCAGTTCAACGAGTAATAACTATTTCTTCGGGATTTCCAGAGGAGTTGATTACAATGCTTGGAATTTTTTTGCAAAGAGGCAGAGAGAACAATTTGCACTGATGATAACAGCTCCAGCGATAGACTGTGTGGAGGTTTTCTTCAGAAAAACCCCCCAGGATATGAAAATATTCATCATTTTTTCTTTAAAAACATTCCCAACAATTGTAAGTGAAAATCAGGATTCATTTTAAGTCGCATCCAGACATTTTGCAACTGCACTTTTCATCTCAACTTGCAATACTAGTCAAAATTGTTTTATAATATTCAATAAATATAAAAATTCAGAATGTATTCATAATTAATTCATGAGAATTGAAACACTAAAGGGTAATGACTTCTCAATAATTAAATATAATCACCGAGATATTTGAAAGGAGATAAATTTTAGCGAAAATGCATTTTTTTTTATTTCAAACTTTCCTCCCTTGATAATAAATTAATGGAATTACTCAAGTATCAATACACGAAGTGAATTAATCGATCAATTCTCATTATCTCCGGACTTGTACTCATTACACAATTAGTGAATGATCGTATTAACAAATTGTCCAGTGTCTTATCACTTCACATTGCGGTCATTATAATTCCTGTTGAATTTCCTCTATCATTTGAAACTTCGTGGTAAGATGGACTCTTGTCCCTCCCACCCACTCCCACTCATCAACCTTCGTCGTTCATCGTTGTTATCATTATCTGACGCGAACAGACACTGTTAGAACCTTTTTTTCAGTCTCAATAAGGATTGCAACTGAATACTCAATATTCATTTGATTCAGGGGTCAAAGAGTTAAGATTACGTCACGGTATCCCTCTATCTTGAAAATTGAAAAAAAAAATCGGGATTTATGTTAATTTTTAGTCTTACCCCAATACCCATCTTAGTTGGCCAAAATAAATTTGAAAAAGTTGACCTCGATTTCGTTTAAAAGTCATTTAAAAGTCGAAAAAAATACCTCAACGAGAGCCCTTGACCTAGCGCAAATAGAATACGCAGTTCCTCACGTACATGAAGTACGGTAAACCAAACAAATAATAACAGTATACTGTGATGACGAAAACAAAACTTTGGGGAATTCCGCTCGGGTAATTGTTGATAGAATTTCATATTTAAAAAATCAAACGATAATTAATGAGTTATTAATAGTTGGTAATTTTACAAGTTTTTTTTTACAAATTCCTGAGAAATTATTGGTAAAATTGATGGGAAAAAATAGATTGTTTTTGGAGTTTTGTTATTATTTCATATATCACGTGAAGTTTCACGGTGGAAAAATTTTCCTACAATTCCAGTAAACTTCTGTGAAAATTCTAAAACCTTCACCAGAAATTGAGAAAAATAGAGGCACGGCTCTGAAAGTTGGTGAGTTATTGAATAATGAGAAAACCAAGAAACCGTATATTTTTCACATTAATCTGACCCACGGTTTTCCAGAACTCATAAAAAACCAGAACAATGAGAAGTTATTGAAAACAACTTCTTGAGTAGAAGAAATCTCGCCACGCGATTCCTGTCGTTTATTTCACGTCTCATCTGTCTAATCTACACTGAATTGAATTCGCTGAGGAAAATTGCTGATACCAAGAGAAAACTCGTGCTTCTCACAATTTGCACGTCTTTTTTATTGGAGAAATGAAATGAAATGATGATACAGGGGCAACTCCTGCCGTTATGATCCGGAACGAATGAATAAATGATTGGAAACCGACGATTTGAATTTGCTTCGAAAAACCATAATAAACCACAAGCAATGAGTAATTCTTGTGGAAGTCAAGTGTGCAGATGAAAAACGACCGGAGAGTGAATCACTTCCGCTTTGTAAACATGTGGGTCTCAATGTGTTACAAATTATCGTGACTCTTGCATCCGAGATTTATCGATAAAAAATTTGGGAAAAAAAGTTAGAGGATGATAAACGAAAATAAGTCATCACTGAGTACTTAAACTGGACTATTTTTTGCAATTGCCATAATTGTGTCATGGAGTAAGAACACGTGACAGAATTGCTTGCAGCTGGAATTCCATTTCAATTCACAGACCATCTCCATACTAAATATTTTTAGGGTAAATCGTAAGATCTTTTTATACAAATCTTAAAATACTTCTCATATTTATTGATAACGAATTTATGGAAAAATTCGAATTATTGATAAATATTACCAAATAGAAAAATTTCCAGATAATGACTAAATATAGACTTTTCAAATCATTTATTTCTTCTGAATTTTCGTCGATTAATTTATGACGCCACGTTTTTTCGACATTCATTGATTTGATTGATTTCAATGAATTGAAATGCGAAATTTAAACGACTCGCACTTTTATTCTTTCCACATCGATGCGGTTTTTTTCTGAATATATCTGAATGGATATTTCCATGACGATGACGCACTCCCAGAGAGAGAGGAATCCACGTCGATATTTACTGTTTTACAGTGTTGAATAATTTTCATGTTTTTTTTCCTTTCTTTCTTCTTTACTTCACTTGCTCCGCGGTATGAAGTGAATGCACGCTGTGGCTCACCGAGCTTGAAATTTCTCGTTAGTACTAGAAGGTTGTGGAATTCCAAAATTCTAATAACACATTAGCTACCACTCGTCCGCAGGAAATATTCAATTGATTGTAGTCTTCTGAAAATTTTCGTTTTTATCATTTCAATCCGCATTATTAAGCTTCAGGCGAGCTATTAAGCGGTTGTACCGACGATATCTCAATTAATGACATTTTATCACTTAGTTCTTTAATAAATAACTTTGAAAAACCAATGGGAAACATGAGCATTTAGAGAAAGCCTGCTGCTTACTTTATTTTATTAAAATCTATGCAATTATTTAGAGAAAGCCTGCTGCTTGCTTTATTTCATTAACATGTATGCAATTGCAGAGTGAAACTAATTGATTGATTTATTTATTTATTGATTTATTCTGGCAATATTCTGCCACATAATTTGGTGTGAAAATTCATAAAGCCAATGGAATTGGTTTTTTTATCATCGATATCGGTGTTACCCAGTCGTTCACGTGGAATATTTGATTTATCGTAGATAAGTCGATATGGAATATCTGTTGAACGTCTATTCTTCGTATAATTGCCCCAAAACATTCAATGACGTAATTGAATATGGGAGGAGAAACTTCGTGTACTTCGCTTGTTGTAATGACGAAGGTTTTAAACGGATCGTTCACATCCACTTGATAACTTCCTGCATTGTGCCTCTCCAATGAATTAATTTAGAACGAGGGAATAAAATGTTGAAACTCCTCAATTTTTTTGTCATCGAATAAAGGATCGATGAGCTATCAATCATGACGACAGAAGCTCATTTTTCACATTTTTTGTGAATATCGAATTTCGATTACGTTATTCATTTAATCTGAAGACGTTTTGTTTTCAATTATTTTTTTAAATACCTCACATTTAAATGAACGCAATTTTCGCTGGTGGTACGAGCATTTAATAATTTAACTGAGCAGTCAATAAAAAATAAAGATTAAATATCACAATGACATAAGTTTTCCGGATTTATCATTTTTCCAGAATAATTGAATTATATAATCGACGAAGTGATTAATAATATGTAATATATTGATTGAATATTTGATTTACCATTTACTCCAGGACGCGAAATTCATTTATACAAAAAAGTTGATAGAAATTTCATGGGTGGAGACGTGTGAGCATGATAATTTTCGGATATTTGAGATTTTGTAAAAAAATTTCTCTGCGTTTTGTCCCACAGTCCCATTATAACAGAGCCAAACAGGGGAGTCCTAACGGATCATGCAGGCCTACATTTCGACCCTCGTTCCACTTCCAACCGAGGAAGTCGTCATTTTCAAAATCGTCTCCACCATAAACTATTCATCAACTGTCAATGAGTCGTAATTGTTAAAAGAAATTAATCAAAAATGTAGTAGTAATTTCCTCACTGTTAGAAATTTCGTACAATTTCAAAGAACTTCCGCTGAATTTCCCCTGATATAGATTTAAACTCAATTTTAATCAAAAAAGTTCATAAAATTTCATCAACTTTCATCCCTACAAAAATACTCCGACAAGAACAAAAACTTCAATTTTCAATAGATTCAAAATTGTGAGTAAGTATTGCCTGAATTGTCGATAGTTTAAAGATTTCTCGGTCTCATATGATCCAGAAAAGTACCCGATTTTTCACTGAAGAATTCGCCAGAAATTTTTGTCATTTTTTACTCGAATTTTATTGTCGTCAAAAAGAGTAATGTTACATTTTTTACTGAAAATTTCAAGTGTCATTTTCTAAGAATGCGAATAGAAATCGGTCAAAGCCTAAAGCCCTAAGTCCCCTGATTTTTGTGGAGTAAATTTACTAGGCAAAAAATAATTGTTTTTTCTCAGTACAGTAAATGCGATTGCGCATGTAACCGCGGGATTTACAGCGCTGCATCGACCTCGTTGAAACCTGTTTCACTATTTTTCCAAGAGAACGGACAGTTTACGAATGCCTCACGCTCCGTTGATCCCGTTAAACTCCGGGGACAATTAAAAACATCAAAAGTACTCACTCCTCCGTTGATCCTGTGTTGATGGCACTCTGCTAATCCAATAATGCACTATCACTTATTCATGCACACTGACACTTTCCAGGTGGTGATATGAATGGTGTGGGCAGCGTAATTTTTATCTTCCTCTGACGAGATGAAAACTAAAAATTGTTCGAGACGCATACACCACGGGGTCTTTCACTTCACTGAGGATATACAAAACAAGCCCTGCCGCTGCGGATGAGAGAAGAGTTGTTGTAGAGGGCACCACTTCACAGAATGAACGAGGGCTTTTCACCCGCTCGGTTGATAACACCAAATTTTCAGAGGTGTCTGTAAAAAAAATTATTATTATAAAAAATATAATTTCCTATTAAAAAATTCTAGACCAGGCGCCTAAAATCGAAGTGAAATAAAAATTTCATCGAACTACAATTAATCCTATCTGAACACAGCTGATAGATGATAATAAAGTCAGAAATAATAAGCGTCAGAAAAAATATCAAAATATAAACTTGGTTCACTCCATTTGTTCTTGTCAGATTTCTGAAATGTCAACTGAGTTGGCTATATATGTCATTCTAGACATGGAATCCCCGAATGGAAAAATATTAACTTTGACTGTTATCATGTCAAGTCGTGCTCACACAAAGTAAAAATCTATACTCTTTCAGATTTACGGGTAATAATCTATCCGGCGATTTTGGAGTAATGCTGAAACGTTTAAAGATGCTCAAGTCTCGCATTGTTACTGATGTAGGTGATGTCTGTCGTTTAACCTAACAGTTTGTGAATAATATCATTAGAATCTCTATTGTTACCCTGTGAATTGATCATGCGAAGAGGTTGATTAAAAAATGGATTAGAAATAAGATGTCGGACGATCCAGTGACAGGGGACAGCACATCTGCTGAACATGCTCTCCAGATTGCCTTTCAGACGATGCAAGAAAGGTGTCAACAACTGGAGAATCGTTTGGCTGCAGTTGAAGAGGAAAATGTCAGATTAAAAGTGGAGAAAGGAACAAATTCCTCTCTTGATGTTCTCATTGTTGATGTCAGCGATGAAGAGGCCACAATTCAACGTCTACAGGTACTAAAAGTCACCTTAAAAATGTTTGTACACTTAATACCTTCTTCCAGGAAAAAGTCGAAGAATTGACGAAACAGAAGTCCCAATTGTCTCATCATATTCTGATGGTCGCTGCAGAAAATCGTCAGCTCTGGAATAGGTTGACACGTCTGACGCGAACAAATAAAACATTAGGAAGTAAATTGATTAAGATATCCGACACACTGAAACAACATCCAGCAGGTCAAGCCTTGGAGACGTCGAATTCCAGTATAAAGGATGTTCCAAATGTGGTTGAGGCATCTCAGAATCCGGGGGGGACACAGGGCGATGCCAGTCTCGAGGAAATTTCTCTCAGACTCATTAATAGTATTATGATGGAGAAGGTGGAGCTAGAGCA